ACGGAGTATACAGGGATCGGCGTCTAAGGATCGTTTACATGGCCGGCACCAGCTGAACTTTTTTTTGTCCCAACAGACAGTGGGCATGTACTATACTGTGTGACGAATATCATGACCGTTGATCAGACTTTAACTACGCTCTCCAACTTGTGATATCTTGATTCTCGTAGCCTCATTGTGACGACCAACCACGCCTTTCCGGGGTGTATTATATACGGCTTATCCACTTGTGCGTACTCTAGGCTCGGGTTACTGTGGACAGGGAGGTAGAAAACCGCACAGGTTAACACTTTTCAATGTATTTCTGTATAGGAAGAAATACGGCGGTGTTGTCAAGCAATCGCTTTCGAACGAGACAAATAGCTATCGTGCCGAACCGCAGTCTACAAAATTTCTCCCCATTGGCCTAAAATTGCAGGCAAACCCAGGGCTATCTCTACCCTTCAATTTTAACAACTTGCTTTATATTTAGGGAGATGAGGAACCTCTCACATTCATACCGGGTTCAGGTGGCTCCCCGATATCTGTTCCAGTTGTGACCGGGATCGAGAAAGGAGGATAAGGTGGATTCAGTTCTGGAGCACACGAAAGATGACCTTCGGGTTCATGCCTTGCCCACGAAAACTGGTTGCCTAAAGCCTCGTCAAGTGTAGGGTGTTTAGTGCTTATGTAGTGATGAGACCAATATACCCCGACGTTGCACGGCAGGGTTGAATGACACTCTTGGTTTTATATACAGCGGAATAGGAGAGGTAGGCAACTGACTATTTCCTTTTATGTGAATGCATCGTCAGGTTCCCAAGGCCCCCAAACATTTTCCATCATATCAAGACCGAGTAAAGCTCGCAGGTAGTGTAGGGGGCAGGGGCCGTGGAATACCCCAAAGCAATACTAAACCGATGGGACGGGTTCACTAAACTGGTTCGACGCCGACAATCCATATTATTCTCCTATTATCGTTGTCATGCGGCAAAGAGGTAGGGTATCACGCCGGGCTCGTATGAAGTGGATGGTAACAAGACCCGAGACAAAGAAAGAATAAATAATGTCGGTAGCGATCCAAATATCTGCTATATATAGAAATGCTTGGCAAAGCAGGGCTCTCATCTAGCTGCCTGTAGATAACCACCGAAGCATTGAACATCTCTTTCATGTCCGCCGTGCCCGTCATTTCTCTAAGCCTATAACACCTCTCAAATTTGTGCGGATAGAATCAAATCACGCTCGACGCATTCAACCAACCAAGGTACCCCGAAACACCGAAGGAAAACAAAGCGTTGTAGGTGACCGCATAGTCGGCGGGTCCCGATGGCGCCCCTCAGTAGTGAGCCTGATGCGATCCGTGTCGTGTTGAACATGGCACGGCGCAAAGTCTTGTACGGTCTCGTGTCTGAGATCACGGCGTACATGCGATGGCAATTGGAATTGCAGCATCCCGAAGGATGGATGGACGCCCAAGAAACCAGCCCACCGCCGTACTCGGCGACCGATAGTGAAAGGGATCAAGAGGACGGCGCTCGGCAACCCGTGCCATCGTCGCATAGCCCAGCTCTCGTGCGTCTTCGGAAAGCGGCATTACTAAACTTCGATTCGTGGCGCACCGAGACGTTGGGCAAGCTTAAAGAAGTGCTAGCTAAAACCGACGACCAAAAAGTCATCGACATGCGGCGAAAGCGTGCCGAAGAATTAAGCGCTAAAGCCAAATCGATACCTGTCAGTGACAATGAGGATCTCCTCAGTTTCGACTCATCTCTTGCCTCCTCGGCGACTCCGTCTACTTCACAGTCGCATGGACATGATGGCATGGTAAATCGGGAGCTAGAAGCCTTTCAAAGCCACTACCACCCGATCCCAACGCGTCTCACTACGATCCCGCTGCGTGATCGCGAGGAGGTGCTGAGCGCAACCTTGCTCCTCGTGCTTTCGGGCGGAACCTACAGCGCGTACTCACGGACGCTCATCTGCTACCTCGCGTCGGCGCTCGAGATCGTCCCGTCGACCTTGAACGCAGAAGAAACGGCCATCGCGACAACGATGGTATCGACGGCGCAGAAGGCGTCGGCTGAGGCCATGTCTGCGGACACGGAGGCACAGAAACGGCGGGACGAAGGACGCGCCGGGCGGCTGTGGAAAGTCGGGTTGGCGTCTGTCGCGGGCGCAGCCATCGTGGGCGTGACGGGAGGATTAGCTGCGCCGGTTGTGGCCGCCGCCGTGGGGGGCTTGATGAGTTCCGTAGGCCTCGGTGGGCTCGCCGGGTTTCTGGGCATCTTCTGGATGAACGGGGCCCTGGTAGGGACACTTTTCGGCGCGTTTGGAGCCAAGATGACGGGGGAGATCGTGGACCGGTATGCGAAGGAAGTAGAAGATTTCAAGTTCCTGCCTTTAAACGGGGAATGGGGATCTCAGTGGAAACAACAAACCTCAACGGGTGGCGATGAAGCGGGGAAGGCGGAGGCGCGACGGTTGCGCGTGACGATCGGAATTAACGGATGGCTCGAAAACGAAGAGGACGTGACGAAGCCATGGCGCGTCCTAGGACCCGAGAGCGAGGTCTTCGCTCTGCGCTACGAAATGTCCAGTCTGATGGCCCTCGGCGCGCAACTCCGAGCCCTCGTGGGCTCAGCAGCGTGGAATCTCGTGCGCGCCGAGATCCTTCGACGCACGGTCCTCGTGACGCTACAAAGTGCGCTCTGGCCGATCTTCCTCCTGAATTCGGCCTCCAATATCGATAACCCGTTCAGTTTCGCGCGGAACCGATCCGAGAAAGCCGGACGGATCCTGGCAGACGCTCTGATCAACAAAGTGCAAGGCGAAAGGCCGGTGACACTCATCGGGTACTCTCTCGGCGCGCGCGTCATTTACGTTTGTCTGCGCACGTTGGCAGAGCAGAAGGCGTTCGGTCTCGTGGATACCGTGGTCCTCATCGGCGCTCCGGTGCCGTCGAATGCCGCGCATTGGGGCATGATGCGGAGCGTGGTAGCTGGGAAGCTGTACAACGTGCACAGTGAGAATGATTACATTCTCGGTTTTCTGTACCGGAGCACGAGTCTGCAGCTCGGGATCGCAGGCTTGCAGAGTGTAGGAGCGGAAATCGAAGGGGTCGAGGATCTCGATCTCAGCGAGGAGGTCCACGGCCATCTACGGTATCCAGGGCTCATCGCGCAGATATTGCATCGATGCGGGTTTGCAGATCTTAAAGGGGGCGACTCGGTTATTGAGAAGGAGGTGCAGGTCGGTATTCAGTTGCGAGATGAGGATTACGCCGAGCTTGGAAATCTCATCGATATCGGCGACGATGAGGGACCGAAGCCGCTGTTACCGCCGCGTCGGACGGCGCACGAATTGGCGAATGAGAAGTTTGACCCTATGGTGAAGAACGTGCTAGAGCAGAAGAGCGATACCGGGACCTTGGATATGAGGCTCATGAACCGGAGCACTACCCTCAATGCCTTGAAATCCGGCCCGGCGGCCTCGTCGCAGTCTGCGCCAGATTTGCCTAGGAGGCCAGATCTTGGGGGCCGAGTGATGACCGGTGAACGATCTGCCAGCATCTCGCATCTCGAAACCCATGACCGGCCTATCCGAAGCCAAGACACCCACCGCCGTGATAGCGAGGATGAGGACGATGATGAATATGGTGATGCCCCAATCACCATGATGGATGACGACGATTTAAGCGATGGCGAGCTTACGATGGTTGAGCCCTTGAGCATAGATGATGAGCCTCTCAGATAGGAAACCCGTAGAAAAATCATACCCTCCATCTTGACATAAAGTTTCGCGGCGCTACGGGTTTTGTCATTCCTCGACAACGTAAGTGCCATTATACTCACGGTCTTCGCGTATAATAGTCGCGTCACCTACGAAGTCTTGGCCACCTGCTCAAGATCCCTATACCGCAATCTCAAGGCTCCGGCCGCATCAACGCTAAAAATAGCTGAGGATGTCCACATGTTTTTAGGAGTTGATGCCGTGACCAGGAATTAGCTCTCTTCACCATTCAACAACGGCGATCCGACAATAGAGATCGGTAGTAGTACGAAACCGCCACCATATCCGTAGATGCACCAGAACCACGGGAGAAACCTTCAAGGACACCTAATGGTTATCTATTTTATGGCTAGATTACACCGGCGCTAACGCCGGTCGCCAAGTCACCATTCGGAATAGCGGGAGCGAACATAGCATATGATGGTCATGGAGTAGTACTGAGCCTGAGGCGCCTTCGTGACCAAACTGGGTAGGACAGAACGACGTTTTAGAATATATGCCTGCAGAGCACAATGACTGTTACCCATGTTAAGCGCCATGGCGCGCTGAGAGCGCGAAGGGCTGTCCGTTAACACATCTCAACGCATGATGTGCCTGCTATGAAGCTGCCGGAGCCGGGACACGACATAATCTCGCACGACATCGGAAGCCAGACGAGACGGCCTAGCAAAGCGACGTTGCTAGGTATTTCGGCCATGAAAATAACAGCACGCACGTCTGCAGCAAAAATCAAGGTCTTCTGCGTAGATTGCGGTCGGGCACTCACAGAGTAGTCAACTGGAGGCGTAGGGCCAATTTGAAATTCAAGCCAGAGGCGGGTTACGGGGTTTCCGCGAGCTAGTCATTGATCAATCCCGAATCAATATACGCATTGCATTATTCCTCCAGAAACCGGTATTGAAATAGCTGTGAACATCAATTTTGGCATAGTGCTCGCAATACAGAGAGCACTCCATTGCCCTATTCCCTAGTACAACCTGAGATACTACCTAGTTATTGTCTTCTATTTGTGTATAGCTAAAGGCTAAGCCGCCTTGGTGGTATCAGGCGCCACTAGTGATCGCGGATTTAATAAGCCATAAAGAAAAGCACGCCGGGCTATAACTTCTTAGGGGTTTGTCACTGATAGATTTGGCTAAAAGAACGTCAGAGGTTTGTATGAAGCATATACATCTGGAGTGGTAGGAATATGAATCACCATAAATCACGAAACTTCATCATGAACTACAGCCTCTATGGCACAGGGGTAATGCGTGCCACTCGTAAACATCTACGGTGATATGGCAAGATCCGCGGTTCGATTCCGCGTGGAGGCAACAGTTGATTTTTTCTCCTTTTTCCTTATCTAAAGCTCACTATTTTTTAGTGCACAAAGTCATGAGTAGGGGCACTCTGAGAATAATATATAAATCATAGATATTCTAAAGACAATAGATAGTCGCGAGAGGTCACAACATGAGGCAGGCATTTTGGAAACTTTCGGGAAGCCCGTTGGAGAAGGCGGCGGACAACGAGATGAAGACAGTTAGAGTAGAGTGAGAAAATTCGTCTGCATGAACTCTAGCGTGACAGCTTGATTGTAAATCGACGTTCTAGCTACCGAATGATGTGACGGTTACATTAATATAATCTCAAGCACCTATTATATGGGTAGGGGTTATTCCGTGTCAGCCCACGCCTGGCCAGCAAATGATGGGGATATTTATCCTAAATAGCCTGTTATGACTGTAGCGTTGTGGCCTTTCTATGGCAGGGTAGTAAACCTGGAGAGCATCTCCCGAGTGTGCTTGAAGACATCACTAGTAATTTGTTGCCTCCTTAGCGCCCAATAGCTCGTCGCTCGACTCTCCCGCGTTTCCTGGGGCGCAATATGTATATGCAGAAGAATGTGGGGAAACGATGTACACCTGACGAAACCACCAGTTTGGTTATCCAATCATTGGCCGCAAGATATTCCTTTCAACACAAAACCATCTATACATGTGGCAAGCGGGCTTCGTTCCACCGAAGTAATTCCACACGATTCGGACCGCTGGCCGGTTAGCTACTCATGGAGTAGTAGATAATAAACTAAGCATTGCGGTCGAATAAACATGCGGCATGTTCTGTATATTGTTGATACGCTTTACGTAGGTGATCTATTACCGCTTCAAGATACGGGAACAGAAGATATTGTCACCGGAGCGGACACCCCACCGCTCCTTACTGTCGTAGTTATAACAACTCAAGTCGATCCCTTTTGAGCTTCTTGGTTCCTACCGCTAGTTCCTCCAGTTCTACCAAACCTTTGAGTTCCTATATTGGCTGTCGAATTCGTAAAATGTTGTTCTCTCTTCCCCTAATCTTGGCGCCGACCTTGGTCGCCGCACATGGCGCTGTCACAAGTTACATTATCGGTGGTACAACATATCCCGGTTACCAGGGCTTCTCGCCACAGCCAAATGCTCAAATTATTCAGAGACAGGTACGCTGATTCTTTTGCTACTGTTCCATAATGTACTACTGTGTTCTTCTTTAGTCTGGCCCGTACTCGATAGAGTGTGGCGAACACGAAGTAGCCAAACTCCCATATTAAAGCGAGGCCGCATGTACTGACTCCCGTCGTGAAGTGGCCCGATTATAACCCTATCATGACCTCAACCGATCCCAAGATGACCTGCAATGGTGGCACTTCAGCCCCATTGTCGGCAAAAGTTGCAGCTGGCCAAAACGTAACAGCCGTGTGGCAACAATGGACTCATCAGCAAGGGCCCGTTATGGTCTGGTTGTACCCATGCGAGAACGGCTTCTCTTCATGCGACGGAAAACAGAAGAAGTGGTTCAAGATCGACCAAATGGGTCTGTACGGATCCGCGGTGAACAGCAACGACTGGGGAACCGGCATAGTATACAAGACGCTGAAGTGGTCAAGCAAGATCCCCGCCAGCCTTAAACCCGGAATGTATCTCATCCGACACGAGCTGCTCGCTCTCCACCAAGCCAACACTCCGCAGTTCTACCCCGAGTGCGCGCAAATTGAAGTCACCGGCTCTGGCACTGCCACTGCCCCTGCTAATCTGCTCACCTCTATCCCCGCCTACGCGCCTCAGTCTGACCCTGGCATCATGGTAAGTAGGGATGTGTATGAGAATTCACATGCATGGCTAATTAAATCTAAGGTCGATATCTACAACGGAAAGCTCACCTCCTACAAGTGCCCTGGCCCAGATGTCTGGACTGGTTAAGGAATTGGGGAACTGCTGGTTATGGATGAGACTATCACACGATTATTGCTTAATAAGTCCTAGGAGTGCACCTAACATAGCCCGTAGTCCACGCGATATTAGCTCTGGTCTCTACTATGATAGTGATCCTATAAACGTTATTATTGAATTTGCATCCGTAGCACATGCTTGAGAATCCAATTCGTTTAAGCAGACGACTTAATTGGATGACGATGCATATTTCGTGGTTGCTAAAGTCTATTGTACGAATATAATGTGGAGCAATTTGATTATGATAGAGAGTGATACAGGCTTTTTTTTTTTTTTGTAGGAACCTAAATAGCTATAAACGTTATCTTTTCCACAATTATCGCAAAGACTTGGCTCCGGAAATCATTATATTCGAAAAAAAATCTACACTTAAAGAAAAAGAAAAAAGCTATTTATAAACGCCGCGCTGCGCAAAATGTATTATATGCAAATGCTATGCCAGTATTACTAAGTATTAACTGTTAGCTGTAACTACCTTTTCTTTATAAAGAAAGAGCTTGTTTGCAAGCTTTAATTAGTTAACTAAAAAAAAATAACTTTAAGTATTTACTTACTAAATCTTTTTTAAGCTTTTATATTATTGCGTTATTAAATAAGTTTTTATGACGGAGCGCCCCACATTTATTGAGCGAGTGGCCAATCAGGACAGCGCTAGTAAATACGGGACAAAAGCGCACTCTAGTGTAGGCCAAGGAATTGAGTCACATAGTCACATGCGTAACTATAAAACTATTTAAGGTTTAGCCAAAGGTGCGCATATAACTAGTATTATAAAGCGCACATAAATAAAAAAACTTTTTAGTAAATAGATTAAATAAAGGATAACCTTTTAATACACGCTTTTAAAAAGGTTTAAAGAGCGCTTTTAAAAGCGCTGGTTTTTTTCCACTTTGCAAGCCAAAATCTTGTTAAAGTTTTTTTATACACTAATGTTATAAAGCTTTTTTTATACACTTGTATATAAATTATTTTACTTTTTTTTATAAATGCTTTTTTTTTATATTAAAAGTTTATTATTATTTTTATACTTTTTATTAAATTCGTTATTTTTTATAGCTTTTAAGTTTTAGTTATAAAATTTTTTTAATAACTTTGTATTGTTTTTAAAGTTTTTTGCTAAATATTATTTGTTGTTAATATTTTAATTTTTTTATTATATTTAATATTAACATAGTTTATAAGCAAGTTGTTTACTTTTTATTACTTTTTTATTTTTAATTATTAATAATTTTATAATTAATTAAAATTTTATTAAAAACTAATGAAATTTTAAATTTATATTTAATTTTATATTTTTTTTATAAGTTTTTAAATTATAGCTAGCGTTATTATATTGTTTATATTGTTATTAGTACAGCGTACTTAGTTTATTACTATTATAATTTTTTAGCTTTTTTGTTTATATTAACTTTTATGTTTTTTTTTAAACAATATAATTTAGTGCATTTTTTATAATAAAGCTTTTTTTATTTTGTAAACGTTTTTTTTTGTTTTTTTAACGCTTGTTAAAAGCTTTATTTGTTTTATAAAAAATAAGTTAATATATTAACATTTAATTTGTTTTTAATAGCTAGTTAATAATAATACAAATTTTAATTAAAAAGCTTTTTTAATGTTAAAAATTTATTTTTTTATAAAATTTTTAGCGTTTAAAAAACTTAAAGTGCAAAAAAATTAAAAGCTTTTAAAATTAACAACAATATTTTTATTTGTATATTTAGCTTTAAAATTACTGTTTAAAAATTATATAATATTAATTTTAACCTTTTAAAACTTTTTAAAATATTTAATTTTATAAAAGCTGCTTAAAATGCTTTTTTAAACGCAATAAAAAATTTAGTTTTAATAATATAATTAATATATAATTTAACAAATTTTAATATTTAATAGCTGTATGCTTTTTTTAATATATTATAAATTTTAATATTAAGTAACTAAATTAAATAAAACAAATGTAAAAGCAAAAAAATAATTATAATATTGTGTTTTTTATAATATTGTTTAAATTTAGCTAAAATATAGCTTTTATACTAGTTTAATATTAATAAATAATATTTATTTACTAATAATAACGTAATTGTTGCAGAAATGTGGGACCTATATACTGTTATTGCTTTTTAAGCAATAACAGCGTTGTTTTGTTTGCAAGAGTTATAAGCCCGGTTTGTTTTTAAGCTTGTTAGCGCAATGGCTTAACAGTACGCTTTAAAAAAACACTTTGCTAAAACTACTAAAGTATATAGTACTAATTTATAACTACTATAAAAGTTTGGTTTTGTATAGTAAAACAAACAGCAGCTGTGTCATAATTCAGGTGCACTACTAACTAAACTACTAATCAAAGTATGTTCTTTTTGATTCTGTTTACCTATATTACTATGATTTATCTAGGTGTGCTTTGCACACTATTCTTTGTTTTTACAAGCTTTAGTTTTATATAAGACCTATTATACAAAATATATATTATATTGTACCTAATTTTAAAAGACTTTTTAAACGTAACAATTTTAAAGCTTTTATTTAGAGGTTACTTATAATATATAACTACTATAGCTTTAAAACGACCAGCTTGCTTTATTTTTTTTATAAGACTTTTATATACAGGTTATTTATAGGATAGCAACAAAATATTTTTAAGTAACAACAAAAGCTGAGAGTTTTTGAATCTTTTTAATATTAATACAATAGGACTAAAAAAAGCTTTTATTTAACTGCTTTAATAATAAAATGCTTAATTAATTGTTAAGCTTAACAAACTAAAGAAATAATTAAAGCAAAAAAAGTAGTTTATATTGGATTTATATAAATTGCGTTTTAAGAAAGCATGTAAAACAATTACGAAAAAAAAAAAGAAGAAAATTTTAAGAATTAAAGAATTAGAAAATTTAAAAAACCTTAACAATTTAAACATTTTTTATCGAACTTTTTATTATATTACTTTTTTTAATCGATAACCTAATTTTAGCTATTATATTAAAGATAACTTTTTTAACTTAAAGCTACTTACATTATTATTTTTATTATTATTTTTATTTTTTGGTTAAAAAAAGCATTTTTAGGAT